CACACATCGATATTATAAGTCTACAGCTTGCAATTATGTACATTTAATATATATTCTATAAATTTCTAACTGTTTCTTGCGGGACTCTGCCTAGACGGCTGATCAACGCATACTTTCAATTCTAGTAAACAGTTTAGTCAAACAATAACTTTTCGGGATGAGCCAGTTTTCTGGGATGTAAATTATCAATGCAACGCACTTTCATATGTATACATTTATCTATATATACATATGTAAGTGCGTATGTATATATAGTGGCGTGGTCTATATTTTTAAATTACCGTGTGACTCCGCCATAGAATAGGCCACCCTTTCCCGTGGACGTCGTAAGAGGGGACTAAGGGAACTTAATGGTCGAGGGATGGATAGCAGCGTCCTTCTTAAAATGTCACCAAAACCTGATTGCGGTTTTTTTAACGGATGATAACGAAATGGTAATCCCGCTTCCACTAACGGTATACGTCGACGGGAAACCAGTGAGAGATGATAGGTGAGGATGAAAAAGTAGGTCAGTTAGTCCATCATGATGAATACACCTGGAGTTCAACACGATGGTTTCCAGGAGAGACCACGTGAAGATCGACCTAATATGGTATATGGCTAACAATGGGACTAGTAGTCCGCATTACTAACAATCCCTTCCCCCGCCTAACTATGATTGCCAATTCACTTGCCAAGCGTGGCAACTACTAGCAAAATTCCCCAAAGGGCAGCTTATGTTTAGCAGTGGACAGTTGGCTGATATCATAATGATTTTAATATATAAACCTGAATAGTTTGTGCACTGTAATGTATTCCTTTTGAGTGGTATATAAAGTTTTATTTTTTATTTTATTTTATTTCAATAGGTACACATTACAGAGAATTAACATAGTTACATTAATTTATAAACTACAATTATGTTTTGTTCAAGCTAATCCTCCAAAACTTTGCGTACACGGCATGATCAAAACATAAACACACAGCTAAAGTCTGTAAACACAATATAATTTAAACAACAAAAAATGGATAATATATATATATATATATATATATATATATATATATATATATATATATATATATATATATACATACACATACACATACATACATATACACACATATACATATATATACATATATATATACACATACACATATACATATACATATATATACATACATACACATACAAACACAGACACACACACACACACAAACACGCGCGCGCGCGCGTACACACATACAGAAACACACATACCACGGTGTACATATTACGTTCATATATATGTTACAACAAAAGAAACTATCTACTAATTACAGAGGAAAATAATACGTAAACGTCGTGACGAAAATTACTGAACTTCTGACCAAATATATCAAGCTTTTCACCATCCTGATGAGCACCACCACGCTGAACATTATTATAAGACCGGCATATTCTTAAAATGGAATTGTTAAATGAAACATTATTCCTAGTGTTTGGCACATCAAAAACACGGGAGTTACGACATTTATTGTTAGTATTAAAGTATAGTAAATTAAGTAGCGAGGGACAGTCAACCATAGAATTAACAATTTTATACAAGTAAATTAATTCAGCCGATTGTCTTCTAGATAATAAATTATCTAATTTAAAGTATTTCATTCGCGAAGCATAGGATTGAAGTTTCCTGACTAAGCCATATCGTCTACAAGTAGTTGCAAGGCACCTTTTCTGTATTCTTTCAATATTTTCTTCATGAATAGCATAATATGGGGACCATATTAAATTACCATACTCAGCAATGGGTCTTATAAGTGTTTTGTATAAGTATAGTAGACTGTGGGGTTTATTAAAATTTTTAGTTGCTCTGTATATGAACCCAAGCAACTGGTTACAACGACTGATGATATAATCATAATGTACACGAAAAGATAATTTTGAATCAAACATTATTCCCAAATCTTTAACCACATCTTTACGCTTAAGTTTTTGCTTGTTCATGCTATACTCAAATATAAATTTTAGAGACCTTGAAGCAAAAGATATTGTGTTACATTTTTTTACGTTCATATACATATTATTGGCACAACACCATTTGTAAATATTATCAAGATCCTTCTGTAACTGCAAACAATCTTTGAAACTATTCACTACGCGATAAACTTTGAGATCATCAGCATAAAACAAGCATTCACTTTTTATAGAGTCTACTAGGTCGTTAATAAACAAAATAAATAATAAGGGACCCAAGTGCGATCCTTGAGGAACTTGAGGTTACCATAACAGGAGTAGATTGGAAACCTTTAATAGCAACCATTTGACTTCTATTAGAAATATATGATACGAACCAACGATACAACGAGCCATGAATCCCAAATGAAATAAGTTTTTTTAACATTAGTTCATGGTTCACCTTATCAAAGGCTTTGGAAAAGTCAGTGTATATTGAATCCACCTGTTGGCGATTATTAAATGCATTACAAATGTAGTTTTTGTAGATAAGTAGATTACTAATAGTTGATCGACCAGAAACAAATCCATGTTGCATAGGTATTATGCGCTGTTTAACATGGTTATACAAATGAATATATATTAAAGATTCGAATAATTTGGGCATACAAGACAGTATATTTATCGGTCGATAGTTTTCACACTTCGTTTTATCGCTCGATTTGAATATAGGTATAATAAAAGCGGTTTTCCAATAAGACGGGAAAGAACCGTAGCGTAGAGATCTATTAAATAAAACTTCCAAAGGCACACTAATTTCTTCAGCACAAGCTTTAATAAAATAGGCTGGTATAGCATCTGGCCCCGCGCCTTTGTTAGAATCTAATTTTCTGATACCCTTAATTATATCCTTAGAGGTTATAGTTAAACTACTCAAGACGGGCGTGTTTATTTGTGGCCGATAATTGACTTCACCAGTAGAAATTTCAAAGACTGATTTAAAATAATCAGAAAATAGTTCATATATACCGGGTATTTCTGTTGCCGTTATATTATTGTAGGTCATAGTTTGAGGGATTGTATTGTTTGATTTTTTACTATTAACATATCGCCAGAAAGTTTTAATGTCGTCTGGAAGATCATCTTCTACTGAATTGACAAACGATTTATAGCACTGATCAATCATCTGTTTACAACGTCGACGAAGTAGATTAAAGGTGTCATAATCTCTTGGGTTCCCATACATTTTAAATTTTTTATGATATTTGTTTTTTTCCCGAATACAACGTATTAAAGCATAATTGTACCAAAACGGGTATTTATTATTTTTGGAACTCTGCATAGGCGTGTAAAGGTAAATTATTTCATTCAACTTAGAATAAAATAATTCAACAGCCAAGTCCACATCTAAATCCGAAAACAGTGCTATCCAGTCTATAGATTTCAGTTATCATTATTATTATTACACTGTACATCCATCCATTTCTCTTTAATTTTCCATAAATTCTATGTTGTATGCCTTTATTAACTCACAGTACCTAATTTGAAAAACCATGATCCGATCGCCACATCGCTTTCGAAACTTGAACTATTATATTTTGTGGATTCTAATAAGGCCAAAATATGAATAAAATGTAATGTCATATATACGTTGTAACGTATAAATTAACGAGCAGTGTCCCTGAAAGTTTCTTGACAACAATTTTCATACACACTCAGTCCAGAGGGAGACTTCGTACAAAAGTCGTTAGCTTGGGCACCTCTGTCCCATTCGTTTTTCAACCGTGAAGCAATTGTGTTTGCATGACTGTGTTTGGGTAAGATATGGCAGTGAATTTACTGGGTACAGAGGAATAACACCTGAGTCCTCAGGAATGGCAACGCATGGGTATCATGGACGAAACAGTATACTCTGTTATATCCATGGTACTGGTCATGTCTATAGGCGACGGTTACCACTTACCATCAGATGGGCCGTCAGCTTGTTTGCCGTCCTAAGTTGCATAAAAAAATCACGGTAGAGGAATGTATTTTTCATTTATTGTGTACATCTACGTCATAATACAGTATAATTTATAGTACAATTTGTTATAATAAGGAAGCCCTGTAATAGAACCATAATCTACCATAGTGCTATAGAAATAATGTTTGTAATTGCCAGTGCTCCAATTTTGTATATCGAATATTATTTAAAGCACTACCTACCTTATAAAAAAATTAAAAAACTATAAAATTATTTATAGGTACTGAAATTGTATATTATTATGAAATTACTGGTGTCATAATGTGACATATGTTCATTCGTAAGAAATTATTTTGTCATTAATTTTATTTAACACAGATGTTATAATAGTCACCCATTATTATTAAATACCTGACTTGATTTTTTTTAATCACTATGATCTTCAGATTTGAATCTATCTATTCTATTTAAAAATGCTGTTGTCGGTGAAGAAATATATTTTGATTTTCAAGTCTCTTCACCTCTTGATAAAACCAACTCCTCCCTTGATCTGCCTGATGTAACTATGCCTTCGTCTCCCCCTTCCCCTCCTACCTTCTATCTTGCCTTCTATTATAATGTTCATTAGTTCGTCGTGTCGTATCAAGTGTCCCAACATTTTTTCCCTTCTGTCCCAATAGTTCTTTTGATTAGATTTGATTTCCTCAATAGAGATTTGAATAGTTGACCAAAAAAAAAATCTTTTATTACACCTGTCATTATGAATAAACTCATTTCTAACACTTATACTGTAAGAACTATACTTTGATTTACGAGTATAAACTGAAAAAACAAAACATATAATTTAATTACATTTAATTTCTAGTCATATAACTTTTTAAAATTAAACAGATGATTAGATATTTATATAAAACCTTCTTGTAGAAAAATACGAGTGTTTTATATTAATATCAATTATTTTATTGATTTATTTATTAAACAATAGGGATTTACAACATGATTACATAGGACCGTGCACTAGGCGAACCTGTATCGTATTATTTTAGATTATTTTATATATGTATATACAAATTTTACATTAATTTTCTGTATTAATTTTATATAATATGTACTTGTATTAATAAAAGAGGAAAACCCAATATATCCAATGGAGGAAAACGCTGGTTATAACATATATAAATTCTAAATTGGTAATTAAATATAATACCTAAAACTAATGGATTTTATGTTATCCTGTGGTCATACCGCTGTAGATTGTCGTGCTACTTGTACACATACTTTGTAATTAAGTGTCGATAATTATTAAATAATCTGTAAGTATTTTCTTCTACTTACTTCCTTCTTCTTTTTTTCCAAAAAGGAGGTAGTTTTTTTTTATATATTGGTGACTTCTTAACTGCGTCAGTCGTAAATCCATTTGGAAAATTCTTTTTTTATCTGAAAGGATATAATATAATAAGCCAGTTTGCTTGTGTAACATAATCTTAATGTGATATCGTGTCGCTAATTTAGTTATGTATTATTATATGTTCTTGTAATACGTATACGTACATATATATTACCTAGCCATGGCAAATTGAGGTTTGCATATTTTTGTCGAGGATTCCTGAGGAGTTTCGAAATCATCCAGGGACTTTAATCATCATTGGTTGCGTCACAGATAACAGTTGTGTTATAGCCTCTCATGATTAAGGACCTCGGATGGTCCTGAAACTAATCGAGCATTTCCGACAGGAATACACCTAGATAATAAAGTTAGTTTCATTATTTTTGTAAATCAAATATGTGTAGGTAAGTACGAAATAAAACTTTTACCAATAAAATTATATTGCTGTTTAATCTTGTTTGCTGACTGTACGGTGTCAAATCATAAACATGCGTCACGTTACCGGATCGAATGACGTGTCCGTATGATTTTGGTACTTGTTGGCAAGTGGGTATTATCTGAATGGTATTTTATCACGAGTCGCGGTCTTATCACGGCGATGATTTTATTATCACGATTATGTACACATACGGCACCGCATTTCCATATATGGTGACAAAAATTGAGGCTGCTCGCTATTGGCCGACAGCGAATTGTTGGCGATAGTATGTGAGCTCTGATAAGGCCAGTTTTATATAGTATATATCCTCACGCGACCGTATTCATTTAGTGACGGCTGTAGCAGCGCAGAGTCGTATTTACCTAGTCATTAACTTAATATTTTACAGTAAGTTTCATTTAATTATTTTTTTTTTTAAATCTGCTAGTCTAGTAATCTTTAAGATTTTTTTTTATTGTGGCTTTATTAGAAATATTTATTTTAGTGGCGGTGTTAATAGATTGTTGATAGATACTTATTTGTGAGCAGGTGATTAGTTATGTAAGGTGAAGGACTGTTACATAATTTATCCAAGTGAAATGCAAGTGCTCGTCCCTACTGGATCTTTCTAATTCGGTTTATTGACATTGAATTCTTTTATAATTGAATTTAAAGTCTAAAATTATAAATAAATTTTTCCTGTATCCAAAATTATTTAAATAAATAAATAAATTTATCAAAAATGTTCTTACATTTGAAAATTATAGATGCAATTAATGTAGATTGAATAGCAATCGATAAGGACCGTTCGAACACGCTATATCGCTATTACATTGAGATAAAACAAAAAATAGGTATCCATAAAATAATTACTACAACAAAATAAGTTTTAGTTATTTTTAAGAGATCATTACTTCAACCTTACTTTTTTAATATTTATTTTTTAAGTGCTTTAACTGCATTTTCTTTGCAGTGTTTTTTTTTTAATCAATTTAAAAAGTATTTAATAAAAGAATATTCTGTTTAATATTTCAACATAGTTTACTATATAAATGTATGTTCAAAGAAGTTGAGCTCTTATCCTAAATTTCAATCATGTTGATGTTTAGCAAATATAAAAATCTTTGATGTCTTCGCCTAACTGTGAGGAAAGACCCGTGCATATAAATAATAACGATGATAAAAACTGTCATTAATTAATAATTAATTCTTTTCAGAATAATCCAAAATGTGCGACGATGAAGTAGCAGCGTTGGTTGTTGACAACGGATCCGGTATGTGCAAGGCTGGATTCGCCGGAGATGACGCCCCTCGCGCCGTCTTCCCATCCATTGTCGGCCGTCCTCGCCACCAGGGTGTCATGGTGGGCATGGGCCAGAAGGACTCGTACGTCGGTGATGAGGCCCAATCCAAACGTGGTATCTTGACCGTCAAATACCCGATCGAGCACGGCATCGTCACCAACTGGGATGACATGGAGAAGATCTGGCACCACACCTTCTACAATGAGTTGCGTGTCGCCCCCGAGGAACACCCCGTCCTCCTTACCGAGGCCCCCCTCAACCCTAAGGCCAACAGGTATGTTAAAAACTTTGTAATTTACTAAATAATCATATAATTATAACTGGGTACCACTGTTCATTAAGTATGTACCTGTCACTCTCAGTTCTGTCTAACAAATAAAATGTTTTTATTCCAGAGAGAAGATGACACAGATCATGTTCGAGACCTTCAACACACCGGCCATGTACGTCGCCATCCAGGCCGTGCTCTCCCTGTACGCCTCTGGTCGTACCACCGGTATCGTGCTCGATTCCGGCGATGGTGTCTCCCACACTGTCCCCATCTACGAAGGTTACGCCCTTCCTCACGCCATCCTGCGTCTGGATCTGGCTGGCCGCGATCTGACTGACTACCTGATGAAGATCCTGACGGAGCGCGGCTACTCTTTCACCACCACTGCCGAGCGTGAAATCGTTCGTGACATCAAGGAGAAACTCTGCTACGTCGCTCTGGATTTCGAACAGGAGATGGCTACTGCCGCTTCTTCCACTTCATTGGAGAAGTCGTACGAGCTTCCCGACGGTCAGGTCATCACCATCGGCAATGAGCGGTTCCGTTGCCCCGAGGCCCTCTTCCAGCCCTCTTTCTTGGGTATGGAAGCTAACGGCATCCACGAGACCACTTACAACTCGATCATGAAGTGCGACGTCGACATCCGTAAGGATCTGTACGCCAACACTGTCTTGTCTGGAGGCACCACCATGTACCCAGGCATCGCTGACCGCATGCAGAAGGAGATCACTGCTTTGGCTCCATCCACCATGAAGATCAAGATCATCGCCCCACCGGAGCGCAAATACTCCGTCTGGATCGGTGGCTCCATCTTGGCCTCCCTCTCCACCTTCCAACAGATGTGGATCTCGAAACAAGAATACGATGAGTCTGGCCCATCAATTGTGCACAGGAAGTGCTTCTAAACTTCAAGTAAGGCTATTTCTAATTTATGATGCCCTACACCAAATCCCGGATTGGGTGGCTCAAATTACGCTTGTGATCTATAATTTAAGAACAGTATTTAATAGGATGTAAGGTGTCGTAATATGCATATTACGTAAATATAAATTTGACAGAGTTTTATTTATGAAATTTACTAACATTTGTAATAAAAGTTAATTTATATACCGGTATATAAAAAGCGGATTTTCTTTTTCATGCCCTGAATTCCCTACTGCCTAAAACCTTAACCTCAATAATCTTCATAAGAGGAAGTATTATAGGTATATATATTAAGTGCATTTAAAAACATCTCATTTTCTCCTGCCACTGTGAAAGTGAAAGAAGTAATAGGTACACAAGTATGTAGTGTTTTAACGTAACGGCCTGGCATAAAAAAACATTTCGCGCCAAACTTCTTGTTATGTCCAGTCTAGAGTCAGCTTTATAGGTTAGTTTCTAACACAAGTGCATAGTCATCATATGTCTGAGCTTGTATTATAAGTAACGGATCATAAAATGAAATGTACACACAGTTTACTTTTTCATATCATATCTCATCCGCATAACTGCGATAGTCTAGACTAGATTGTTCACTCGTACTGTTTTCTTTGGTCTTTATTTAATTTTGAAATCGAGTCTGTTTACGTACCTTTTATATATATAGCATAGGTATAGTCTGTATTGTTTTTTTTTTACTTACATATATTATTGTTAAATAACTAAATAGGTACGTAATGGTATATAAATATCAATAACAAGAACGCCAATTATACAAAACATACCTACCGAGTTTTTCCTACGTTCATATTAATATTGTAAACACATTCAATACAGTGCCTAATGGATTGGTCGAGGCATTAACAAGGCAAGGCTATATTTACCAAAATCATTACTGTATTTCATAGCATGTCCAATATTTCGATGAATATTTTGATACTTGTTTCAAAATAATAGAAATAGTTCAATGAACAAAATTATTTTTCATTACTTGTACAGTCAGAAACAAAAGTAATGAATGGATTTCATACTTAAATTCTTTAAACCAAGTTCATTGACGAAATACTTCTGTTCTGATAAATCCAAGCATACCTATTGAGGATTTAAAATAGTTCGTCGGCATTGAAACACGCGTGGAATGAAAACAAAGTTGACCTTACCTCCGGCCGGAGTTCCCTGACGTTTTAAATAGAAATTCTATAGTTTACTGACCTACACTGATGCTGTTCCAAATGTACTCGGCCTATAATTAGAACAGACACACCCACACGCGGCGTCTCGCGTGGTGCGAGGCGTGAGTGACATCACATAGTTGTGGTGTCTTTTCTGGATCTCACTTTCAGTTAATTCATTTAGTACGAAGGTATACTTGTATATGGAGTACTGCCCTCATCTCTGCCTAATATCTTTTGGTTGCTTTTGACAGTTTTTTTATAGGATGTTAAATTAGAATGATAACCCTAACTGTGATATTAATTTACGTTAACAGAGTAATAGTAAGTATTCAGGTATGAAAGGCGAAGGTTGATTAAAATTAGTTCAGCTCAACATAACGAATTCACTAAAAACTAACTTCATTGGTTAACAGAGGGCACCACGTGGAGGTTAACCTGATAGGGTAAATTGCTAATAATAGGGACATTGGCTTCATTACTAACAATTTGATTCCCTTGCATATTTAAAAAAAAACCCCAAAAATGCATTTGGCAATTTTAAAATATGCCTACTAACCTAAGTCGAAAACCTTTTGACTAATTTAAAAATGCAAAAATGGTAGAAGTGTACCCTTAGTTAATCATTTATTAACAATAAATGGCCCCTACAAAAAAGTTGAGAAATTTACTACTTGTAATGTTCCCTCCATGTTGGATAGGGAAATGTCCGGATAGTTACAAGGTGAATGTTTTGTTAAATCAGATAAACATAATCCAAATGTTTTCATTTACCTAGGTAATGTACTTAGGTAAATAGTAAATAAATAGATAGCCACGTATGTGACAGAGATTTTAACAAATTAAATTCAGACAAAAACTCCACGTACACCCCAAGAGGGAAACATTGGTAGGGGCAAGTGGAACTGTCCAATATAGCTACACTTTATGCGTTATGGTGGGAATGATACGTTACTAAAATAAAAAAAAAATACAAAAACAGACTTGATAAAACATTTTATTGTTAAATGTCTACGATATGCGAATATTACAGCATAAATAATAAATTCTTTTATCCTAATAATTTCACAAATATTATAAATACAACTGGTCGTCAACTGGCACGTTCACCCTACAGTATAAGCAGTCGCCGCCGCATACATGCAGAAAATCCACGAACCGACACCCTGGGTGCAAGGCGACGGTCAAGGGCGCGGCAGCCGGCGCGGATCGATTCCCTTCCCCCTCCCCCATCCACTCCCCAAACCGCCGTTCGATGCGTTCACTCGACTAGACATGCCCCATGTGCAAACCAACTCATGCAGTCTAATATAGGTAAATACCTAAAATGCTTTACGCTTGTATGATTATAATACTATTATATGATTTAAGCCATGATTTATTGTATTGTATTGTAAAATCTTTATTGTACATAATTCAAATTAAGCACCGATAAATGATTTAATATACAATGGCGGACTTATCCCATAAAGGGATCTCTTACAGTCAACCTTTGAGAAGCTGAAAGAAAACTATAGAATGTATAAGGGTAATAACCGTAGAATTAAAGATAAACTAAATAATACAAAGTAAAAATAGAATATATAATACAATAAAAACAGCTCTATATACCTACATATGTAAATACTTAAAGTTAAATAAAAATTTATATATTTAATATATATTCGTCATTATCATATTAGCCGATAGCTGTCCACTGGTGCATATAGATCTCCCCCTATTGGGAAGTTTTACCAGTAGTTGCTACGTTTGACAGGCGGGGACTTATTTATACAATTGTATGTGATTTATGTATTGTACATACATTAGTTATGTAAGTATCACCAGAGGGAGACTTTGTACAAAAGTCGATTGCTTGGGTACCTCTGTCCCATTCGTGTTTCAACCGTGAAGCAGTTGTGTTTGCATGGCTGTGTTTCGGTTTGAAGGGTGGGATATGGCGTGAATTTACTGGGTACAGAGGAATAACACCTGAGTCCTCAGGAATGGCAACGCATGGGGGGTATCATGGGCGAAACAGTATACTCTGTTATGTCCATGGTACTGCTCATGTCTATAGGCGACGGTTACCACTTTCCATCAGGTGGGCCGTCAGCTTGTTTGCCATTCTAAGTTCTATAAAAAAAAAAAAAAAAAAAAAAAAAAAAGTATTTTATTATATACGTATGTTCATTTATCTTAAAATATATTAATTGTTATTTTTTAATGAGTGCATTTAACGTTTTTCAATCCTACCGTTCCATTTTCACCCATTAAAAACCACGATGGTTTCCAGAGAGGATCGCGTAGAGGTCTGGTACCTGGTTGGGTATATTGCTAGCAATGAGGTCGTTAGTCTCCAATACTAACAATTCGGGGGGGGAAGGTATTGTTAGCAATGGAGTTTAACAGCCCCATTGCTAGCAATATGCCTTATTAGGTCGACCTCCACGTGGTTCCCCCTGGTAACCATCGTGAACAAATCTTGTTCACGATGAGTGGAATAATTAAATTTCCATCAGCAGCGATGTAATTATGATATCATGTTTAAATAACAATGGGGTCGATTCTTATTACTGAAATGTCGTTCTCTGAATTTTAAATTCTCTGAAATTTAATTTATCTGAAATTTGAAATTGACAGTTCAGTGAAAGCGTTACATAATGGAGCATCGGGTACTAAATTTAAAACAGTTTTGACGGTTAATCAATTAGGTATAATGTTCATAGCTTAAAATAATTATTTCACCGTAATATGAAATCGAAATTACAGTTTTGAAGATAAAAATAGATACGAACAAAAAGGACTCCAATGTTAAACATTTCAATGGCAAAAATACATAGGGCGTATAATTTCTTATGTAACTTGCAAGAGTAAACAAGCTGATAGCCTGCCTGATGGACTGTGGCAACCATTACCTGTAACATGATCATCACCAAGGATATCACAAATTAAGCTGTTCACGCCTATTCTCATGTGTTGTCATTCTTATGAATTCGTGTTATGCTTCTGTGCCCAATAATTTCATTGCCATTCTTTCAGAATTCAAACCGAAAAATTTGCTTGGCAACAAATTAAACACTTTTTGATGGATGACAATGGAAGGTTAGGCCCGTCTGTGCTATCGATATATGCTGCCGGGGCAACAGGGAAAATTGATAAATGAGGAAGAAAACTGGTCAATTAGCTCAATGGATTTGTCAAAAATTAACCATGATGGTTTATAGGGACGACCGCGTGAAGGTCGATCTGATAAAGTGTATTAATAGCAATGGGGGCGTTAAACTTCTAACTAACAATCCTTTTTACCTCCAACACGACGTACTTACCCATGCTAATAATTTTATACCAATAATCAAGAGATATAAAAAAACTTGAAAGATTTTGTGACGTTTTAGCTATCCAGACCCAGTCTCATCCGATCATTACTTTTTTGAATTGAATGTAACAGGATAGTGACCAATATTCTAAAATATGCCTTATCCACGTGCAATAGTAACGATAATTTTATGAATCTAGCTTTAAAACATATAAGTTCATATAGTAGTAAGGATTTTATATATTTAGTAAGTAGGGTAACGTGGATAGCGATCCGTTCATGTGTAGTGTAGCTTGGAATCACGATTCGTTAGAAGATAAGTTTATCAACAGGTTTTATAACCAGTTCATAGATTTATATCACAAATATTGTCAATTATTAATTGCCTATTGCTGAAGATATGTTTATGGGAAGGTTTCCCATAGACTACTATGAGGTCTACCGACTCCCTGAACCACATTTCCTAAATACATTTTTTTCATGGATGCTAATGGAATAATAACTCCGTCTGCGTGGGGGTAAAGGTTTATTAGTGATGCGGAGTACCAGCTCCATTGCTAGCAATATATCCTGCTAGTTCGACCTCCACATGGTTCCCCCTGGAAACCATGGTGCTGAATTCCAGGTGCACGATGAGTTAACTGACTTTTTCGTTCAAACCTATCATCTCACCTATCATTAAAAAAAAAAACACCGCCTGTATTATAGGTATATGATTGCGGATCACCAGTG